CAACAGTTAAGTGGCATTTGAAAAAACATAAATGCCCTTTGAGTGTCTTGTAGCTTTCTTTATAAACCATCCAAATGTTGACAAAAAATGAACAGTTCCAAATCCTTGCCTCTTTTATTCAAGAAAGTTAGGGTCACATCTTTGTGGGCATTCTAGTGACCTCAACTTTCATGAACAAAAGAGGCAAGGATTTGGGATTATTCATTTTTTATCAATGTTTGGATGATTGATAAAGAAAATTAGAAGACACTCGAAGGGCATTCATGTTTTTTTTTAACCTACTTAATGGTTGGTTAATGGACTGGTTAACGATAGGTATAGGATTGGCACATTTTGAAAGTTCGGGTACCGAATTGGCACTAAGCCCAAAGTATAGGGTACTAATCGAGAATTTTCCCTTAGTATTATTAATGTATTTATGTGATATGTATGCATTTTCCTAACGTATCCAAGCGTTTCTATATCTTTCATTCATATCCATGCATTTCCAAAGCGCATCCGTATCTGCATCCAACTTATTTGATACGATATCCGATACCGATACTTTGATCATTGCATGTAAGTAGTTTTTGAAATTAAAGGATACACATAAGTGGTTTCCTCAAATCCCACGAGGTCCTTTTAAGTATTATTATCTCTAACAACAACAACAATGGTGGCGGTGGTGATGATGATGATGATGATAGTGACTTTATAGGATATTCCTAAATTTTTATTCCATATTTGAAAATCCATGTTATTCATGTATTATACGTTCATGAGAAAGTCTTGTATCCATATAATTGAATATTTTAGAATTTAATATGTTCTTAAAATATGTACTAAAGAATTATGTAACATAGGTGAAATTAACTAGCATCATAAAAGTAATAACCAATCGGGGGTTTTCATCAAAACTCTCAAGGGTTGTGATTGGTCAAAGCCTTTTTGGTATCATGTCTTTTTGACATTGTAGATTTTTCCTTACATATTTATACTATATTTTAAAGTGTGGATGTGAAGTGAAAGTTTTTCTGAACTAAAATTACCCTCTATTTCTTTGTCTAAGAAAGGATATAAAAGTAATTTTATTATAGTTTTAATGTTAGCTTTAATGGCTACTAAAATACCCATATTTGTGTATTAATTTATCTCTATTTGTAAAGTTTGAAAATGTAACTTCAATTATTATTTTACACCTCTTTTAATCCCCTCTCATTAACTCTTATACTTAAGGCATTAACTCCCATTTTCTCTTATTAAATGTTATATTTAAGTTATTATTTTACTAATAAATGATACTAATTAGATTTATGCCAATATTTTTAATAATATAAGACTATATTTTAAAATTGACTCAAAAAACAAAGCCATTCTTTATCCAAGTGGTGGCTAAGCAATTCAACCATCTAAATCAAATCAATGAATCTATGAAGTCATAGTTAGGTAATAAAATTTTTAAAATAAAAATAAATATAGTAAATTATAAAAACATAAAAAAATTGACACATTTATGATATTTTATTAATCAAGTTAAAAAATAAGTGCAATAAACAAGAATTATTTGTTGAGAAAGGGTGAATTATATTGAAGGATAAGAAAGATACAAAGCTGCTAAGGGAGAGGTTCCCTCAAAACAACCATAGAGTATAAAGATAAACCGGAACTACCCCTTACAAGACAAACTCCTCATCCCAAATTAAAGAGTTTTAGTGATTAACAAACATCCTAAAATTGACATCTCTGAAGTTGTTGTTTATAACACTCCAATTTACTAGTGTCTTCTCCACAGCTACACAAACTTTCATTGGCTGCTTGGCTTTGTCTTCAAAAATATTGTTTCTCTCTTTCCAGAGACACCAATAGATCACCAAAGGAATATCTTTCCAGAGCATCTTACCCCACTTGGCAAAAACCTCCATTGAATCAATAGAGATTCCAGATTTGTAGGGTAACCCAGCTCACACCGAACAAATTTAGCACATGGGACCATACTTGACGCAAAAAACTGCACAAAATCAGAAGATGGTTGGTAGTTTTATTGATGATGAAAATGATATACATAATTTAGAACTAACAAAAAATTAAACTATTTTATTATTTGGCAAAGATCAATAGTTCAACCTTTGGGTTAAATGTGTTAACCTTTAATATCATAAATAAATAATAAAAAATAATAAAATACAAAAATAAAAAAAACATAAACTTTGCAAAAAAAAAAAACATTTAGGCACATGTATAATATCGTATATTTATCATATTAAACAAAAAGTAAGTGTAGCATATAAAATTATTTTTACACACATAAATACAAAAAAATATAAAAAAATTGAACACATCTATAATTTTATATTTACACTACTATTAAAAACATGCATAAAATTGTGAAACTTTCTTTTAACTAAAATACTCATTTTTGAATCTAGTCAATATTTAATTGTGATGTTTAAATTGTAAATTGAACTACTACTTTTCACCTCATTCAATTCCCTCTATTTAATTGTTATGTTTTTTTTTTCTAAATGAACAAAAATACATACACCAAAAAGATAAAACATTACAAAAAGAAGAGTTTAATCAAGCAAGTAGGCCTGTCAATGATACTTGAAACTTCAACAACTCAATTCGATTATCACATATTTGAATGAGGTGTTTATATAATCAAGTTTGGATTTGGCAATTTGCATCCAATTAATAATTGAAAATAAAAAATAAAAAAATACATAAAGTTTGTAGAAAATTTTGGATATATTATAAATATCATTATCATCATCTAGAATTGCCATGTGGAAAGCACATGCTCACTTACTAGTTATGTAAAATAAATGAAAATGTGTTATAAAGACCATGGCACCTATTAGAAAAAGTGATATATTACAAGTTAAATGGCTAAAAGAACAAGGATATACCCAAGGACTTGAGTGGAAATACCAAAAAATGATTTAAACTCCCATAATTTAATGATGGATGTGACACTAAACACAATGAAATGGCCAAACATGATTCATGTAACCAAATCCATATATTTGGGAGAAGGCTTTAGAAGAAGATCACAAAGTGAAAATAAAAATACTTGTACTAGATTTTATCATTACCTTAGTTTATAGCTGACCTAATAGTCGAGATGGTCGCTTAGTGTTCCATAGCCACCCCTAAGTCCTTTTGTACCATTTAATATGTGGTGCCCGTTAGGGAGGGCTTTCGGGCAGTGGCTTGTGGTGTTCTAAGGGGGCACCACATGAAAAGCCCCAAGGCTTTGTTTGCTTTTCATAAGTTATTTACCCATGTTCTTTTGTTTTTCAGGTAAATAAGTCAATGACCATTTTAGTCATAAAAATCCATCATTAAAAGGGACATTTTTGTCCCATCCAAGTGTTGTTAACTTTCCCCAAGTGGGAAAGTTATTAACAGATGGGTATCACTTAACATAGGTTTCTTAGTCACATCCCATTGACCAACTTATCCCACTTTCAAAATCTGAAAAAAACGAATGCCCCCCAAAAGTAATGTTTGGTGAAAATTTGGAAAGCCAACAAACCACTTTCGTTAAGCCAGTTAAGTGACTCTCCCATGAAGCTACTTCGATTTGCTTATCTGGAATTCACATAAACAGCTCATCTAAAGCTGGGCCCTCCCAAACGGGTATAGAGATCTCAATGAAATTACAGTACAAAGAGCTTTTGTCTACGGGGGTCCAGTATTAATTGAGCTAGACAAACTGAACCAAATCCAAACCTGAAGGACCATAATATCACTTGTTGGCCCTTGTTTTGCCTAGTTCAGCTCAAATATAAGCTAGTTATAAATTGATAGATAATAGTGGACTGTGAGACAATGTTATTACATTCATGTTTTTCTTTTTTCCAATGATATCTTCCAATGGAAATATGAACACACTCAACATGTCCTTTAGATTTCCAACGACCATAATAATTTCATCATTTTCTTTATCTTGTATTACACTACCAGTCCAAAGCTATTTCGGGATTACCTGAATGCGATGGCTGTAAAGCGGGCTGTGGAATCAATGTTAACGTCCAAAACTATTTTGAGCCACAGTGAGAGAGGTTGAATGGCTATAGGCCAATGTACTTCATGACCAGTCCGGATTAGCTGGAGACAAAAACATATACACCCGGCTGAATTATTCATTATAGTTGAACACAACAGTGCTCACTGTGGGCCTCATCTGAGACCCAGCTGTATTGAACACTGGCATGTCCAACCATGATAGTTAATTCAGTCGGGTGTGTATGTTTTTGTCTCCAGCTAATCCGCCCCCTTTATGACTGGTGTGAAGTACTATTATTGGTTCAAAGCCTACTTATAACAGCTATTGTATTCAACTAATCCTGTCCAAATGAAAGAGGATTGTGTCAAGCTGGCAGTAGATCTGCTCATGGGCGAGGCTCGGGCTTGGCTTTTGCCAAAATGCTAATGGGCCTGGGTCAAATCCCAAGCCCAAAACAGCATAGAATTGAGCCTGAAACTCGGGTCGTGAACAGGTCAAGCTATCAGCCAATGCTGAATCAATTATCCAAGTAATTTCTATATGAACTTCGAATTGTATGTTGAAACATTTTATTTTCTGGCCCTTTGTTACTTGTTACCTTCTCTAATATACAATCTCTTCTACATCCTTATTCACCTCTCTGTCTCTCTCTCTCTCAACTGTATATTTTTTTTCAATATGTTGAGCACTCACTTATTAAAAGAGAATTACAAATTTAAAGAATATTTGATAGATCCAAGTAACTTGGGAGATTTAGCACAATCCAATCTCTAGAATCATCAAGGAGCATTGAAACTAGTGATATCCTTCTCTCTTTCAACTAGTGTTTGATACCATTATTGTTGTTTTCTACCTAAAATGTTTCTGGGTTCATCAATACAAATTATTGTTCCTACTAGAAATGTCTAATTTGACTTTCAACCATAAATGTCAATGATCATGTTAAAACCTCAAATTAGTTGAAATATTATTGATATTATCATGTTGGTTCTACTTGTACATATTTGTTGAAACCTCCCCCTAACAAAGTGGTTATTTATACAACCGTTGTTTTCAGGTTGGCATGAAACTAGGAAGTACATGAAGTGGCTTAAAACTGATGCACTGGAAAAACTTTGGATTAGTGTGTTGCTTCATCTATTGGGGTTTGAGCTAATTTCAACATACAAGAAGGATACAAGAAATGAGGACTCAGCCAGAAAACCACCCTGGCTGAACCACTATGGCACTATCATCTTGACTGGAGCATAGTTACAGATTGATCATAAAAAATGAGGTTTCTTGATTCATCTCTTGAGATAATCAGCTTAGCCATTTACCTATTGGTTCATACTTCCAAGATTATATCATCAACTTCATAGACTTTCCATCTGTGGCATCAGAGGTTCCCATGGACTAATTCTTCTGCTTTGATTCATTAAGAAGGAAATGGCATGCATCAGTTGCCTCTTTGATTGATAAGAAGACTGAATCTTTTCCAATGGAGTCTATGAATCTCGATAATGTCAGCTTCTCTAGCACCTCTCTCCTGGGGTTTACTATTGCCATCTGAATAGATGATACAATCACATAATTTAGTTCATCTTATTCGGAGGAAAAAAAAAAGATAATCAAGAGATGTGGTTGTACCTTAATTCCCCTTCTTTCCATGTTCCTATAGACTTCAGATAACATTTCAATGCCAGTCATGTCAATAGAAGTAACTCCTATTGTGACAAAACCACATTTACATTGATATTAGTTACCAAACAATTTAAGGCCTCGTTTGGTTCGTGAGAATAGGGGTTTGGAATCGGAATAGGAATGGCCAACTGTTTGATTGGACGAAATCGGAATCTCATTCTCATTCCTGCTGAAATAGAATTCTTCCATTTGAGGGAATGGCTATTCCCTGCCCCTCCCTTGAAAATGAAATCCCAATTCCTGTTAATTTTAATTCACATTCTCATTTCTGTTTGAACCAAATAGATTATAAGAATGAACCATTCTGATTCTGATTCCAATTCCGACTGCAAATCAAATGACCCTAATATTTTTCCTTGCAAGAAGAGTACATACGTTCAGAGTAAAATCTTTTTTTAAACCCAACATGAATGTATATCCTTTTTGTTTTAATGGGCTGAAGTTTATATGGCCAACCAGGGGTGGGACTAACATTGGGTAATGGCCTTTAAGTTTAGATGGAGCCGACCCAAAACCTGAAATTTGAGATATATCAAAATTTCCAAAAAATCCAATAGGATCAGTTTGTTTGCAGTATAAATTTTATGTTACATTGAGAGCTTTGCAGCATTAGAACTTTCCATGGATGCACTGGTTCTTACCAAGCAACTCTCTAGTTAGCAGCCAAGTGGTTGTGATCAATTTTATTTATTGCCCTCCATAATCCATAGGAAATTCCATTGTATAATTACTACAGCTTAATCTATTGCACAAACCTTTCCTTAGGCTTCATTTGTGTGCAGCGATTTTGCACCTAGTTTGGGTTTGTAGCAATTTGTTCATAACAAAGATTTGCACCCCCACCTGGGGCAAAATTTGCACTTTTAGCTTTATATGCACTCAATTTTGTGTAAATTTTGCATCCCAAAAACAGATGCAAAATTTGCACCACCTTAGCTTGCCCCAATACAAAATAGGAACTGCGTCATTTTACCTATTCCAAACAAACAAAACAAAGTGAAACCTGAAACAAATTTGTATTTCCCCATTTATACTCCAGTGCATTTTTTTTTTTTTTTGGGGGGGGGTATGCTTATGAGATTCATACTTTAGATTTATGAATTTGTTTATGCTTACCTCCTAAATCAAGTATAAGATGGTCAAGGTCATTGCTGCTGGAGTTCAAAGTTTCCTTTTCATCTTCAACCCACCTCGAAATCCTAGTTAGTGCAAAAAATTTCAGTAAGACCCTTTAGTAAATGCCATACATATATTTTTGTTCAAATTAGGGTCGATTACTTGGTGTAATGGTAAAATCTTAGGCTGGCAAGTGTGAGAACGCGGGTTCGAGTCTGAGAGTGGTTACTTTGGTTCTAAACAAAAAGCCAAAGCCCAAAGGTTAGGACTGTATCCGGTCTACCCCTCCCAAGACCCTATATAACTGCCACCAAATTGAAAAAGCAAAATAAAATAAGTGCTTTATGGGTGATTCTCACTATTGATTCATACCTTTCTCTAATGTAGGTACAATTGGCAAAGTAAATTGGGGATCCCAATTGCAGGATTAGAATGCCTTGGATCTCAGTTGCAGATGGATACTGCTCTACATCAACATACATTGTTGAGCTAGGTAAGTTCCCAAGCTTGGATGTAGAAGGCCTAGCCACATATAGAAGTGCTCTGAGTACTGAAATTCCCACCTGAAACAAACAAAACAAATTAAATGGGAATCAAACAAAACTAGTGTTATTAACAAAGAACTGAAAATCTGATGCTGTATGTGAGCAAAGAGATCCTTACTGACAAGAGGAGGCCAATGTCCATGCTAATAAAAATGACTCCCAAGAAGGCAGCCATACAAATGCAGAAATCAAATTTGTCAACCTTGAAGAAGTGATAAGCCTTTTCATACTCGATGAGACCCAGCATTGCAGACATGATGATGGCTGAGAGAGCCACAAGAGGGGTGAATTTGAAGAGAGGAGCCAAGAACAGAAGAGTTAACATCAAGCACACAGACATCACAACGTTCGACATTGCCGTCTTGCATCCCGCATTGTAGTTCACTGCAGATTTCGAAAATGGCCCTGCATTTGGAGCAGCCATACATGTCAAAGAGAAGCATTCACAGACTGATTTATTGAATTGGTAGATCAAAAACAAATTAAAACTTGGTTCAGTCCAAGAGACCTGTAGTCAAGTAGCAGGAAGTAAAGGAACCAACAATGTTCATCATTCCAAAAGCTATCATTTCCTTATTCCCATCAACTTGGTCATTTTTCACTATTGCAAAGCTCCTCCCTACTGCTATTCCTTCCTGTAGAGAGAATCAAAAGAAAAACAAAACCATCATAAGCTTAGGCAATCTGGAGGGAGATTTATTTCAAGAAAGAGATGATTTGATGCTAGTGGTCTTACAGCCAGAGCCAAGATGCCTGTAATGATCCCAGCTTTTATGGTTGATGGCAGGTACCTAGAGTCAAAGTTCAGAGCTTTAATTGAAAGAGGATTCAATCCTTTACTCAAGTCACCCACCTGTCTCACATAACGTAGTAATGTCAGCTAAATTCAAGAACAGTGAAGTACAATCAAAAGGACAGAAGAGGAACAGAACTTCTGTCTCCCATGGAAGATGTAGTCCATATTTTAATACTACAAATATTGGTAGTCTCATCAGGGTCAGATATTGGTACCCTTGATTCTTGAACCATGGAAACCTGAGGTTCGGGTTGCAGCCTTCTGGGTTTGGATCAAAATGGGCCAGCCCAATTTTAAGATTAGCCCATGACAGAGGGTGCCTGGAGTGGGCACGTAAGGCCCACTGACCTATCTGTGCAACTTGGGCGGGCTAAGATTGGGCTTTTGTCAAAATTGAATGGGTCCGGCCCAAAGCCTGAAACAGTGTAAAATGCTAACTAGAGCCAATCCAACTATTGGCTACCAAGACTCTTGATAGTTGGGTTTGTTGAATCTCCGGCCCACATTTTTTCTACTACAAGGAATTGGAAAAAAAGGAAAAATTAAGAACTTAACGATCTGGATCCCGTGCTTCTCTGCATGAACCAAATAAGCGAAAACGCAGCCCACTACCACGGTCACCATTGGAGCTATTGCTGCTACCCAAAACAATTTTTCCTTCTTCTTCTTCTGCAATTTTTTTATGAATTAATATAATTTCCATATCTATAACTAAAAAAGGAAGGAAAATAAAAAATTAAAAAAAGAAAAAAAGAATGTTTTGTGGTCTTACCAGGAACCTAGTGAAGAGGAGGAAAACGAGGAAGCATAAACCTACAACTGCACTTTCCCATCTCCACTGCAACAATATAAATAAGTAAAAATAAATAAATAATTATAAAAAAAATTCAAGCTTTAGTCGATGGGGATAGTGTTTTCGAACGGCCATTGACTCGGATGGTTGGACCATTTGACCTGGAAACCATTCAGGCATTCCATTCCGCTTCACCCTTAGCCTGGTCTTTGACAAAAAGCCGTTGATTTGATCGACCTGCTGACCTGGGCAGGCAAACCGTTGACCCGTTCAACATTTTTAGCTGTTTTTTATTTTAATTATTTTTTAAATTTTAAATTTTTTAACTTGGAATGAGCCGTCCATTCAAACCAAACAGACAAATCGTTGACCCAAAAACCAGTGGCCAGAACGATTCCGATTACAGATCGATTTTTAAAACTTTGGATGGGGATAGGACCAGAGTCACCAGACCTCGTGTCTTTGGCTGAAGACTGCACGCATGACTGAAACTACATCGGTTTTAGACGTAAAATGCGTCAAACCAAACATGCCCTTCAACTGTTGCAGACAGATTATCGTCGCTGTTCCTCCCATAAAGCCAGTGATTGTGGAATGTGATAAAAAGTCTACCAAGATCCCGAGTCTGCAAATATAGATTACAGAATAAGGAAAAAAACAGTTGAACTCTCTCTCTCTCTCTCTCTGATCAGAGTCTCACCTGAAGAGACCAAGAGCTGCCTGAAAGACACCGGTGAAGAAGGTAGCAGTGAATATTAGATGAAGATACAATGTTGGGTCGTCTTTGGGTGATACTACCCCTCCTACAATCGAAGACAAAAGCAATGACGCGGCCGCTACAGTCCCGACGGCGAGATCCTTCGAGCTACCGAAAATGGTGTATACTAGAGGCGGTACAAAGCTTGAATCTGCAACAAATTGCCAGTGATTCATCATCAAGCTATTCGGAGAGAAATTACATTGAAATATGAATGGAGAGAGATGGAAGAAACTGCTTACAGAGGCCGATTATTGATGGTATGTTTGCAAGCTTAGCGTAGCTGATGCCTTGAGGGATTGCGAGGCTAGCAATGGTGATTCCAGAGAGCAGGTCGTATCGAAATAGACGGAAGTTGTATTTTGGTAGCCATTCGAAGACCGGAAAGAAGTACTGGGCTGCCTTCTTCGCTTTCCGAAGCGGTGGCTCATTCTTGAATTGCCGGAAAGGGTCGTCTGGGAAGAAAGTCTCCTTCAGATCAGATTTGAATGAGGTCGTGAAGTTTCTTGGGGTGGTGAAGTTCACCTTGTGAACTACCTCACCAGGGCTTCTCATGGCTCTGCAGTTTGGAGAGAGAGAGAGAGGTGTTACAGCTTACCAGTAAAGGATTCCTATATATAGAGGATAACAGCGGAGGACTCAGACGTGGAAGGATGGGATTGAATGGGCGGAGTCTCTGCTTGTAATAGTAAACGCGTTTAGTCTGGCTTTATGGCTTTATCAAAATCTGTATGTTAAAACTTAGGGAAAATCTAGGTAAACGGTGTTGTAAGCATCATTTTCTTAGAAAACGGTGCTTTTTTTGTTTGGCAACGGTAGAACGTTTTTCCCAGCAGAAAACAGCACCGCCTTCTGTTTGATATCAATGTTTCATGTCCGTTTTCTACACCAGTACGACAATGACAAAAAAATTGAAAATGACAAATAATTCATAAAAAATTCCAAAAATATGCCTAAACTAAAAAAGTGCATAAATTGATGGTATGGTTTGATGGTTCAACAGAGCTCGACTTGCTAAGATTGTATAAGGTTCTAGCTCGAACTCGGTTCAAGCTAAAACATTGAATTTGAGTTTGGCTCAAGTCAAAAATTCATAAGTTTGAGCTCGAGCTCAATTTGAGAGAAAATATTTTATAAAAATAAAAAATATTTTTTATTTGATATTTAAAAATAAGAATTATAATATTTTTATTATATATATATATATTCAAACTTAACTCGCAAGCCTCACAATCCGAGTTCTATTAGGCTCGAGCTCGGTTAGAACCGAGCCGAGCTGAGTTCGAGCAACTCATGAAAACTCGGCTCATTGCCATCCCTAACCATAACCATAACAGAAATAACTATTACAGATCCGATAAGATCTGATGATTCATACATAAAAAAAAACAAAATCAAAAAGAGTTTGAAGGCACACCTGTGGAGGTTCCGAAGAGAAGACAAATGGTCTGAACACAGCAGCCTGACCTGTGGTGGCTGAAAATGAAGAAATCCAGTCTCCAGTGGCTGAAAACAAGAAGACGTCCGGCCTCCAGAAAAAAACAAACTGTGTTAGGATTTGTTTAACAGGGGAGAAACAAATTTTGTGGTGCATTGCGATGCACCATATTAGTTCAAAGTTGTGCCACATTGGATGCCATGCAACTGCCACCTCATGTCACTATTGGCAGCAATGATAAGTAATCTGGGAAAACATTAATTTTATCGTTGCTTCTGACCATGCTTTTCCAATTTCCAAGGCACGATCGTTTTTTTCCCATTTTCTGGAAAAATGGAACCAAACAACCATCCTTTGTTCCCATCACTGTTTTTTCTTGGCACCATTTTCTCAAAATATGGCACCGATGCCAAACACCACCTAAGAATGCCGAAAAGGTATAATAGACTGAATGACTGAATTTGTGTTATTCTTATGGTTTATTTGATTGAAGTGACTGAACTGAATCACTTATTTCTTTGTTTTTAACTGGATAAACTGATTAATTATAAAATGTTCGTGTGTAAAATAATTAACTCAACTTTAGTTTATGCCATTAAGGAGCTCACAATCTTTTAAATAAAATGTAATTATTCACTAAAAAAAATAAGCGATTGAGTTACCCACTTCAGTTGTTATCAAACTGCCCCTTAATAAAAAATTAGATGATATAGTTGTTCTTGAAAAAAGAAGAAAAAAAAGTGGAAAATCAGATTTTCTTGGTGGAAAACAAGGAAACTAGAGCAAGCTTGATACATTTGTTTATTTGGCTATAAATTTTATCGTATAAAAACAGCTCTAAAAAGTTTGCAATACAATTAGGGTTATTTTCAGGTGGTTCACTTCATTAGCTCCAGTGCAATAGAAAGACATAAAAAACAGGCCAGTAATATTATTCCATATTGGAATTTGATTTACGTATATTGGGTATAATTTCATCAGGTGGATTGGATTTTGATTTGATTGTTAGGGTTTCTGCCACTTTGAATAAAATTAGTGTTTGTTTGACAACACATATGATTTTGCTTATCAAAAGAAAAGGCGACTATCACATTTCACATCTGTAAAACAATATGAAGTTATTGTAGTGGAAATTAATTGTTTTTGTTTTGGAAAAACAAAATCAGATATATTGGCGAACACCCTCTCTTTGACGAGTTGGGATCTTCTGATCACAAAACTCTGACCACATCCTGTGCACAAGACACCACAGCCACACGTCGGATCATATACCCATGAATTAATGACAATAAAAGTATAAAACGTTTAAGAGATGTCCTTAATGTGTGGTTGTAGGCTGTTGTGGCTTGTGGTCAGCAGATATTAATTCATACTAACTTATTATGAGAGATGTTCCCAAATATGACTGTAAGATTTTGTGGCCAGCATCTTATGGTCAGCAGATCCGTATTCAGTTAGTAATTTTCTTTTTGGATGCGTGTTTGGGATGTTTTTGGCTTTTCTGTGTAGGGAAGTTTTATTAAGAGAACCCACATTACCACTTTAGTAATGGCGTAAACTAGTAAAAGTAGTGTTTAATTTCGAACTGCAGAAAGTTTAAAGAAGTTGCTAGCAACTAGAAATATGAATCGTTACTTATAAACTGGACAATCAGAACCAGTGGGCATATAATTAACAGGCAATACTTCAAATCTGCTCTTTTTAAAAACTCTCTCTAGGATGGAAGATGGTAATATAATGAATATAGGAGATGGTCATTTGACACCCCTCCCAAAATAGGAGGTGTAGAATCAAACCTATGGAACTATAGGCTTTCTGTGACATGGTTAATGGACATTACTTGCATCCTTTATTTCCAAATAAAAGGCCTATTAATTAAAGATCACATCTGCGCCTCACAAAATGCTTCTTAAAAATGTCCACACATGCACATCTCAGCATGCATTGAGAATATCTTATGTACTTGGGAGGTGTTTTTAATACACAGTTGCAATGTGCTGTGAGATGCTTTTGGGGCGCATTCTGTAAAAGGCAGATGTGACTTCCATTAATTAAACTCTAACATTTTGAAAATCAGATCAGACATCAAACTGGAGAGAGGATCAATTCCTGATTTTTTTTCACAGTTTTAACTCAAAATCACAGAAGTCAGCTGGTTTCTATTGAACCAGTTCCTAATTTTCCTGGTTCAAAATGCAGTCTCATCTTAATTTGTAGGGTTCAATACAATAATATGGATTGTCATATCTCCAACAATATGACTTGGTTACTATTGGATGCACCATACTCGATGTATGTGACAATCAAGGGCACAACATTTTTTGACGAAAAAACTACCTAGGTATATGCTAATTATATATGAAATTTTTATTAGTCTCAGTTTGGGAAGAGTGCAAATGCAGATATGTGGAGTATCAAGGTTCAAATTTTGTCATGTATCAGGCCATATTGGTTAATACATGTCTTATAAGTAGGTTATTAATAGGCCAAATATGAACCTTTTGGGATTTTGACCTGTTTCAAGGGCTGGGTAGCCCGGTGGGATGACTCGGCCTGACTCGTCTTAAATCGGGCTTGGACAAAATTTTAAGCCTGTGGATTGGGGTCGGGCTAGGACTCTAAAAATTGGGCCCGATTATTTTTGGAATTAGACTCAGGCTTTCTCAAATAAGCCCAACCCGATAATATTAAATATATAACAGAAATATAATATATATGTTAATAATGCATAATATATATTATATAATAATAAAACTAATAGCAAAAAAATATTACATATATTAAATGTATAAAATATTATATAATATATTATTAACAATATATAATTAATATGTTATAAAATACCTATCAAAATCAGGTTTCGGGCTCGGGTCTGGGCTTTGGGCTTTATATAGGGCTGGGCTCGGGCTTGGGCTCGGGCTCGGGCCTAATAGTTTTCTGTTTATAAAGAGGCAAAGTGCGGCCCAAACCTGACCCCCGGCCCATGAACAAGTCTAGGCAGGCCTAAGACCAACCCCTCTTCCCTATTTTTGAAAAAAAATAAATTAGAAAAGAAGATGTGTGTGGTACAAAGTATCAATTCACCCCTTCAGCATGATGGGGTGTACAAATGCTTTCAAACTAGTATAATACAAAACCTTATGAATGGTATTTCTAAACCTTATATTTGCATTTTACATATATAAATATTGTATTTGCATTCTTTCCAAACCAAGCTTCAATAACTAGAAGTTAAAACGCATTTGTTTGAAACCATAGTATTGGCCATTTTTTGGCTCCTTACTGCAGTACATCTACATTTAAATATAGTTATCCACAACATTAAACATTTAGGTTTAGTTTGGAAAGAGTATAAATGCAAATATGTACAGCGTAAATACATACAAAATATAAAGTTTTGCATTTTACATATTTGCATTTATACTCCATCCAAACTCAGCCTTAGGCTCTATTCAGTTTATCAAAAAACAGAAAGTTGAGGAAAAGTTCTTCAAGAATTTTATAAAATTAAGAGAAAACGAGTATTGCATTTCTATTCATGTTCACACTAGCTTTCAATTTCAAATTATTTTCATGGAATGACATATAAACTATTGAATATTGATGATCTCTTTTGGGCTTCAACCTTCCTCAGATCAGGATGGAAGGTTCTGAATTCAATTCTTCAAGATATGGGGGTCCAAACGCTAGGACTTTATGACATAGTTTATAAAGAATAAAAGGTAGAAAAGATGATATCAAATAGAGTTAGAAAAAGCATCTGTTAAATGGGTTTCCACTTTCAGGTAATTAAGACTTGAATCCTGCTCAAATATTTGTGTTTGGGTCATCGAAGTCATGCCTTAACTTTCTTTTTGCAGCTTCAAATAAACCTTCCTCAGCTGACCACTCCAAATGTAGTGTTTAATGTGTTGGTGGGGTTAGTTCAAGTTTGACAAGTAATCCAATTGTTAGAATTAATTGTCCTCTGGAGGGTGGAAGTTGAAGACAACCTTTTTATTGTTTCAATGCCTTTAATCATGGCTTTCCAACTCAACAGAGAAAAGATGAAAACAACTCAACAGAGAAAGGATGAAAACAACTCTAAGTGATCAGAAGGGATGAGTCATGCTCTCAAAGTATCGATATGCTCAATATTGAATTTAAGTTAGAAGAGATGAGCCAATAAAAGCAACAATACTCTCTGATGATTTAAGTTTCAGTCAACCACCATGTTGCTA